GTATAAAGCATATGATTGTTTTATGAAAGAAATTGTGCATTGGTAATGCTTTGGTTTTATTCAATAAAATTGAAATTCTGATGCTAAATTCTCATTCTCATCCAAGTGATTATATGATAAATTTCGAATATTTAACGGTTTGCCGATTTTAATACACCTATATATAATATATTTAAATTATTTTATAAACAATTATTTCATCGTACATTATTTATCTAGTTATATTTAATTTAAACAATTCAGCTTATACTTCGTGTAAATGATATTACTAGGGAAATTTTCATAATGCTTATTAATTGTCATGAATGAATAAATATATATTAAATTACTTTTAGTAAACATTAAATTTGGGTGATTATAGTTATATTAGGGATAATAAAGCGTTTGTTACAATCAACAAGAAATACATGATAATTAAATTTATCACGCAACATTTGATTTATAAATAAGTTGTACCATGTATCTATTATAATCTCGCAGTGAATATAAATGCAGTTTATGTAATTATATGCGTATATCAGATATAAATAAGTTAACAATGAAAAAAACTGCATATTTTCAAAAGTAGTACGTTCTGATCTAAAGTTTGTCACGCATATTAAGGGCTTGTAAAATCAAAAACATAAATTCTTTTGTAGGTTAAGAAAATTAATTTAGATTATCTTATAAGGCGTAGCTAACCCATGTATTTACTTGTAAATTATAGACTTTATTTGCCGTGAGCACGTGACGATACTAACTACAATATTACTTTGATTGCCAACAACTACACAAGCTATAATTCAATGAAAATACCAAAACCATTCTTATAAGTTTTTCATCATCTTAATTATTTATAATAATGTTTTATATATCTTTATAAGCCAATAGGTTTTCATGGAATTTTTTATGCTCTAAGATTTTAGCTAAGGTCCAATTTATAACTCATTCATTGAAGTTTTTTATTCTATAATTAGTTAAAAGCAAAAATATGAAACTTATATAAATTATATAAGTTAACTGCGAAGTTAATTATCTACTATATAATTACCATATATTATATTAATTTATTATTTTAATAAATATACGAAAGTAACTAAAGGGATAATATTTTTAAAATATTGCTAGAATTAACAAAAAAAATTGGACTATGTTTTAAGTTAGTTTTATATAAATAATATTAAATTCTGTACGCATGGAACTTATATTCGAATACTGAAAGTGATAATTATATATTAATTACATCACTACTACTATTAAATAAATAAAAACGGACAAATTTATAAATATAATTTATCTCGAAAGAAAATATTTCTATAAGTATTATATTGAAATATTAAAAGAAGCTACAAATTATTTCAAACATATATTAATTATGCTTATCAAGCAAAGTAGTGTCAATTTGTATAAACAAATAGTCATCTTTCAAAAAATAACTTATTTTTGTAAAGTTTTTTTATGCTCAAAATGTGCAAAATATAACTAAAACTATTTACGTAGTTATTTATCCTATTTATTCATTGTTATATTTTCTTCGAATTCTGAAATTTGTTTTAAATTAAATATTTTACGAAAATTGAAAATTTCAAAAGATATTAAATTAGCAGAATAAAAAGCTGTTTTCTTTTGTGTCTCAATTGAATAACATAAAGAGCAAAAGACTCATGGCAATTCATTAGATTAAGTTTTACTATTCTATTTTTAATACTGGAACATTGCAAAAGTATTTTTAAATGTTAATAAATAATACAATCGTGTTATTTGTTTTTAAATAAAACGTCAACTGTTTCGTAACAAAATATATAAATAACATTTCTTTATAATTTGTTAAAATATTTTCACTTGCCATGTAAATTATAGAAATAAATGTAAAAATTCTAATTTTCAAATATTCATGAATATAATACATAAGCTATATTTTTATTGATTATGCACAAAATCATAAAATATTTAATTTTTACGATTATTCAAATTGAAAATAAAAGATTTGACTATATTAAAAAACTGTAACATTAATGATTATCCGTCAAAATGGTAATTTTATTAAACTATTTAAATTTTAAACTATTTTCAATTAATGTTTACAAAAATCTATTTGTAAATGACATTATTTATATATATATATATATATATATATATATATATATATATATATATATATATATATATATATAATAAAAAATTAAAGTAATAAACTCTATATCATTAAATTATATTCTTCTATATTATCATCAATTCTTTAAATACGATTATTTATTTAAATAGTGATAAAAATTTTTTAATGAATATTATATTTTAAATAAATCCGTTCTATTCCTATATTATATTCAATTATCTACAATCTATAACAAATCTGTGTTTCCTAATTTCCGAATGAAACTACTACATTCGTAGTTATTGCATGCATCGACCACTATTATCATAAGTCACGATAAAGGTTACATTTCTATATATTATTTAATCTTTCTTCAATATTCGGTAATACTTTAACAATATTTAGTAAAGACATATTTATAGTGCAGATAATAATAATATATAGTATAAATAAAATTTTTTTGTAAAATTCATAAGCTTGTAATATCATTTTCAATAACGAATTCTTTTAAATTCTTTCTTGTGTTTTTATTTCTTACTCTAGAGTTTTAGTGAAGAAAAGTTATTCTTATTCCTGCCATGACTGATAATAAGAAGTATCAATCATTTAGTCCATTATACTACACTTTTAAAAATAAAATTATGTAAATCGTTATTTATATAATATATGTAATTTATATATTTTTTCTCTAATAATAGTTTTGAATTATTTCAATATAAGTTCTTAACCATTTGAGCCAAATTAACATTCACTAGTTCGTTATACCATTGAAAAATTAATCAAGAGTATTAAAGATTCCCGTTATAAGGTATTATATATATATATATATATATATATATAAATATAGATAAGATTAAATCTGCGTATATCATTAAATTATATTCTTCTATATTATCATCAATTCTTTAAATACGATTATTTATTTAAATAGTGATAAAAATTTTTTAATGAATAGTGCATATATATATATATATATATAAGATTAAATCTGCGTGTGCATATATATATATATATATATATATATATTTCTTTACATATTTATATATTTATAAATTTAGTCATTTATTCGTATTTATTAAACTAAAACTAAAATATTTTAGTATTTTGTGTTTGGAATTAAAAAAAAAACAAATACCTTTATTATTAAGAAAAATAATTTATAAATCAGTTTATTTGTAGGAAAGAAGTTTGGAATTAATATACGTGAAAACAATTTTTTATATTAATATTTAAATAAATTATGTAATTTTAATGTGTTTCATGACACCACAGACTGAACTTCATGCACACAACCCCAAAAAGCCAGTACATTATGCACAATTTGACACTAATATTATAACTATAAATATACAGCTTGAATTACCTAATACTCTTATCTTGAGTCATTGTTAGTACAGAAGGAAGCGCGCACTTAACACATATACACTCATTTGAAACTATATGTCCTTTTCATTATAACGTTCGAGGTCAGTTTATAGCGTTAAATTTTGAAGTTTGTAAAAGATTTTATGTTGTTTATGTTTTAATAATATACAGTGTTTTTATTTATTTTTATTTGATGTACATGATTATTAATATATCAAAATTTAAAAGCATCGCGCTATGATTGCTTTCGCTATAGTTTTTCAAAACCAATTTATAACATTTTAAAATTTTACAAAGATAAATCGTTGACATTACAGCTTTCACCATACTATATAAAATTGTCTCCAATGACATCTCGTAAGCATTATTTTTTTCTTTTTTATATTTTTTAACTAAATAAGAAAATAAGAATGATTTATTATATTTAATTGGATTATAAAAAAATTCCAGCTTTCAATTTTTGTTCTCTCATATAGATAAATATTTTATAATCGGTATGTTTGATATGCCGTTAAAAGTTGTGTAGTTAAATTTAATAAAAATTTTATTATTGAAATTAAATAACTTTTATACCAATAAATGATGCTTCGTAAATAAAAATTTATAATTTATAGAGCCTAATATTTTTAAAAGCTTTTTTGAAAGAATAACTTTTTTTTCTATTAGAGATAATGGCATTAATAGATAAATTTTTATATTCAATATTTACATTAAGTTTATTCATACATCTCAACTTTTGAAATCACTGTCTCAATATAGATTAATCTATGCAATATTTAAATTGATAAATATTTCAACCGTTCAAACTAATATTCTTATAAACACTCATCAGATTCTTTGTACTACATTCATTATAATGGCGACTATTTATATTTTCTAAACATAGAAGTCCTCTATGAATTCCTAAAAGAGCTCTTAATTATCATTAGAATTCCAATCTATTCAATAACATTGAATATATATAAATACAAAAGATTAAATTAATAATAATAATATAATAGAATAATAGAATAATAAATATATTTAAAAAATACATATACATTTCATTTTTATTTATTATTAATGTTTCATTATTAATATATATTTCACGATTATATTCGATGATTATTCGTACATATTAAATAGTAATTAAATAATTTTGTCGAACTTTACGTGTTTGTTAAATATGGTACATAAAATACAATAGAATTGTAGTAGTTTTATCAATAATTTTATGTTCTCCCTTAAATCATTAATTTAACAAATCACATTCTATATATGATTTAATAAAATGTCCGTATACACTGATATACTGCCATATGCTTATAATTTGATACGTATATAAAAAAAATTATCTATACATGTAAAAAAATTTTGACACGTCATTCGTATTAATTTTTCCTAAGTTATTTAAAAAAAATCATCAGATTACGTAAATAGCATAATAGAAAAAGTCGTTTGACCTTAGTCGGCAAATTAAACTTCTATCGGAAATTCATCAACCTAGATCCTTTGACAATCACAAATTCCCATACAACGTGCAGACAATGTAACGCCTTCTCCTTCTTATGATTATCTACAGACACCTTGAGCCTGGATGATCGAACGATGGATAACGTGGAGAGGCACTCAAGTGTTAGTAGACCGCGACAGCAGCTGCTCGACGCTACGGTCGGCCATAAGTTGAAACCCGAGCCGGGCTTCGACCTCATGCAGTCAACAAATGTCACGGCATTGGTTGGCAAAACGGCCTACCTTACTTGTCGCGTACGCAATTTAGGTGATAAGACGGTGAGTACAAGCTCTATCAACATTTCACATGTATTTATACAGATACTGTGATTTAAGATCAATTGCATTCATCTATTCGTTATTTTACATCTACTTCTCGCCGAATTGTTATGGATTAGTTTTCCTTAACGGTATAAGATTTATATGTGCATATTCTTAGTATCGTCGATCATCGTTCATTGATAGCATTACAAATTGTAACGAATTTTTCTTTTTAATCAATTCATGAAAATTTAATATCGCTACAATTGTTAACTATGTTTTTCATCATTTATTATAATATATGCAAGTATATATATATTTTTTTAATAAATTAGTATAAAACTTCTCTTTGTACCTTTGAGATTTAATGTACCAGCTTATTCCATTGCCTGACTAATGGTTGACAATGTTCACGGATTATATAAAAATAATTAAAATTTTCGATTACATAATTAAATTTAATTAGATGATTTGTTAAATAAATTTTAAAATCCGTGACATATATATGAAATATATATATATATATATATATATATATATATATATATATATATTTAAAATTGAAATATCCGTTTTTTATATATATCGCTTATAATTAGTTTAGTATTAGTTTTTGAGTAATTGAATTTATTAAGCGATAATTAATGTATTGGGTATAAAAAAACATTTACAACTAATAAAAATCATTACATTCAAATACAAATTTTTAACTAGTTGTTATTAATAATGAAATTAATATATGGCAACTTCATAAATATTACAAAAATTTTTTATAATAAACTTATCATATAATCAAAAATTTTTGTAGAATATTATGAAAAATACTATTGACAAATAAGATATTATATATTTGATTTAAATTTCAACTGTTTTTTACAGTTTCTATATCATTCTGAGAAATCAGAAATTGGCATAATAGGAATTTAGGTCATATTTTTACAGAAAGTTTGCCATCTGGTATGAACTCTATACACTTTTTCATATTAATAGCAGATAACTGTACTCTAGTTCAAGATATTGCAATATTATTATTGTTATGATTAATTAAGCACACGCGCGCTCGCGCGCACACACACAAACAAACACACACACACACGCGCACGCACGCACACGCACACACATTTTTTTCTGTATGCATATATATGCTAATAATATTATTTATAATTACATTTCAATTATAACTTTAACTTTAAGTTACAAACAGGAATTTAAGTCTTTATCACTAATACTAATATTTTCAATAATGTAGAATTAAATATACTACACCAGAATTATATATTCATAAATTCTTCTCTATGTAATTTCACAAAACATGTTAACACGTAAATTTTTATATTATAAATGTATAAAATAATGAATACCTGTAGTAATAATCTAAATTATGTTTATAAATTTTTCAATAGGCCAATATTCTTTTATTCTGCCTATTGGAATACAAGTATATTTATTTTAAATGTTATAAAACTGAAAATCTTACTGTCCAACGTATTTCTAAATATTTTCGTAAAAAGAAAATTGTGTGAAATGATTAAAATTAATTATAAATATTATTAATTATATTGAATAATAAAAAAATTAAACATTTTGCAATATTTTTTAAAATTTATCTTTAAAAATTCATTATACCTTATATTTTGGTTTATTCAAATCCTAAAATTAATTAATTAATCCTACTTCACAATAGATAAATATAGATTATGTGTAACTTTAAAGTATTCCTGTTCATTAGAATCCAATTGCTTTTATAATGTTTTTAGAAAATATAATATAATAATGCTTTTCTAGATATAAAACTATCAAATTGCGAAAATTTTGCAGATTTAAAAAATAAAAACTAAATCATTACATTAAAAAATAGTGCCTTAAAAAGCTTATATTCTGTAACTTGCATTTTTTTTTTTTTTTATTAAGTAAGCTACTTCATTAGTATCATTGTTCATGAAATTATTCCTTGCTTTCCTTCAAATCATGTTACCAGACTAACACAATTTCAGTTTGTATTCGAAGCGAAAACTCGCTATCGTGCATCCGAACTTGTAAATGAACTTATATTTAATTTATTCTAGATAGATAAAATACTTTTTTATACATATTTATACAAAAAATATTTAAATATTTTAAATTAAGGAGAATTTGCACCTAAAATAAATTTTCAACAACAGAATTTTGAATTAATCCAACTAAAACATTGATATATTACATTAAACTTGCAATTTCACTACTAAATACCCATGCAGTCAATGGACTACCATACAATAAATTGTTCATGAAAATGTATATGCAAAGTCAGTTCTAATGAGTGTGCGTGAAAGAGAGGGAGAGTACGAGAGAAAGATATAAGACATTTTATATCATGAGGTAATTAATTAATATAATTTTTTTTAAAATTTGATTCTCTATGTTCATAGTACGTTTGTCAGCATTTACAAGTATTATTATGTAATATTCAGATTCAATATTTCAATATATTTTCATTACATATATATTTAATTGAAATAACGTATTATTTTTACTGCAAATAAAAAAAAAGTTTAACTTAAAAAAAAAAAAAATTAAAAATTACGAATTCAAATAATAATTTCTAAATTAACAAAATATAGAAAAAAAAGTTCGCGTGTTTGTTATAAACTACGTACAGATTTTTATTTTTAATTAATTTAAAATACTGCGCTTAAATAAAGAGAAATAAAGAATTTTATTAATATAATGGAAAAATATTAAAAATGAATCCAATAAATTTATGTTTGAATTCAGTTTTACGAAATTAAATATTTACGCGCAAACATAAGAATTTTTTTATTATAGATTTTTAGGAAAAATATGTAATTTTACTTACCATTCATCGAGTTTTCCCATCCATTCACTTGTAATTTTAATTTGCAATACTTACTATATCATATTCTATTATTTAACACTTATTCAGTACAGATGCCTAAAATTATTCAAATCCTTTACAGAGATTACTTCCATTAGCATGAACATAATGATTTACTCAAAACTAAATGAGTTACTCGGGGTCAATTGGGACATTAAGCAACTGTCGCATCTGGCAGGATATAAAGTGTAGCAAAACTCAATTTTATCCCTGCCTGCGTCCATTCAGTAATCATATTCCCAGTAGCTTTACCTGAAAAGAATATGGTTCGATTCTCCCTATCATTTTCTCTTTTTTCCTAAATATATCATCATATCTACGTTTTTTTTTCTTTATATCACTAGTCATCATACCTGCGCATATTCCTAAGGGACTATCATCCTGTGTGGGTCAGGAGATCGATGAAAAATGCCAGCTGGAATACAAGAATTTGTAGTCGAGATCTAAATGTGTATATACATTTATTTATGAACTGGATAGCGTATTTGAAATATGAGCCTTAATAGTTTAGATAAAGATCGAGAAATTGGAATTTTCCATTTTTAATATATTATAGTATGTGCACTTCTTGTATGAGTGAACTGTGTTTCACTCGAGAATAAATGCATTTAAAGTAAATTCCTAAAAAATTATAACATTAAAAATTTTACATTATAATAGAATACAATTTGAAAAATGACAATATTTATAGTTACACTTTCAATTTACTCTTATTTAAAGATATTTCTTCAAATAATTAACTATTACATCTCCGTGGTTTATGTAAAGTTAATTCATTTTCAAAATATTAAACAAAAAAGCAAGTATCAATATATTAAGCTGCAGCATGAATTTACTAATGAACTTCCTTAAAATTGAAAATAGTTTCATTTCTCAGAATGGATAAAATGTATAAATGTAATAAAATTATAATATTAAAAAACTTATAGTAAAATAATTTTAAAATTTACTAATGAGATACTAAAAAAATAAATTATACGATGACTACTATATATATATATTACTGGAATATATTTAAAAATTAAGTTTATTAACTGGAAAATTTCTAAAACATTGTGCCCAGACTTTGCAGACATTTATATACACTTTTGAAATAATTATTTTAATTATAAATACATACATTTAATTCAAATTTAAATATAATTAATATTAAATAATGAATTTATTATATAATTACATTATATTAATTAAAATAATATTGAACATGTATATATTTTTGTGCTAAATGTATTATAAATAATTAGCACACAAAGTAATTATTTGCTAATTATATTTTCCATTTTTACCATTTCAAAATTTTCATTCTTTAAAAGATATTTTATTTAAGAAAATTTTATTCATTTTCATATTGGGAATGTTTTTGAATAATCATATTAAAAAATTATAATTTATATTAAAATTTAGATCTTTTTATTATTTAACTTTTATTTAATGAATAGATAAAAGGAATTTACTAAATAAAAGGAATTTAAAAATTTTAATATTAATATCTGATTATTTTTTAATAATTTATGTGATTTGCTCTCTATACACAAAAAGTGCAGAGAATATTAATACATGAATTTCAAGGGGAAATATTTCATATATTAAATTTATAAAATTTTTTATTATTTTCTTTGAATTTATTAGGATGGAATTTTTTTGAAAAAATGTATATCAATTTAAAAAGTAGAAATGAGTCTGATCCAGAATATAGATTGAAAATAAAATGTTTAGAACTTTCACTACATTCATATTCTTATTTTTAAGAGAACGTGATATGGACTTTACTGTTTATTCTAATTGATCTATAAAACAAATAAAAAATATGAATCGATCTTGTGTAATAGAAAATGGTTGTTGAAAAATATTATGTACGATTGAAGAAGTATTAAAGCAAGCAAATTAGATGAGACTGATAGGTTTAGTAAATATTGTATAAAATACAATAATATAATTTTAAGTAACTGAAATATTTTATTATAATGAATCAATAAACTTTTCGTCTATTTTAATAAATAAAGTATTTTTCTTAAGCTTAAATTGCGTTGATGGACGTGAAATATAACTATTTTATTTCCTACATAATTAAATTTTTAATAAATTTAGGATGCTTAAAATTTCATTTAATAATCTTAATTGTAAAGTTTCGAGCATTTTAGTA